TTTTTTTCTTTTTTTAATTAGTATATAAATTATTACCAACATGTAATATAGTTTCTTTCTATAGTTATGAGAAAACATTTACACAAAAAGCCCTTAAATTAAACAACAATTTACTCTTTTTAAAGTGTTTTTTTTTTATGTTTACAATAATCTTCTTTTTGTTAATTAGACTTTCCTTAAACAATTTAATTTAATTTTGTCAAAACTGGGGTTGTGTGTAGGCAATCAATCATTGTACAAGAGTTTTAAAATACAATACTTTAAAAGCTGATATATATTTAAATTAAAAAAAAAAAAAAACAAATAATAATTGAAGGATAAAACAAAAATAAATAAAATCAATAGATTTTTGATGTACCTCATTTAGGGGATTGTACCTCAATACATTCGACATTGTTGTTAGTATTAAAATTTGTTGAGGAAATTAATATTTCCTTTACAGCTTTTTTCCACACAAAGTCCAGAAAAAATGCAGTGGTGATATTAGGGAATTGCCACACCACATATTCATATATCCTGCATCTAACTCCTGTAAATGTTAAGGTGGCGACTTCGTATCAGACGACATTTTCAATTTTCAATTTATCCCCACAGTCTCTATAAAAGTACTTCCTTAAATCCTAAATAATAAATTTATGACCCTCGTAGAACCAGTTTTCTCTGAGTTATTTCCATTCGCCGTAGTTTCACCAAAATTGATTAAATCCTAGAAAGAATGCGAAATATTCAAATAAAGTTTATTTTGATCAGGTCACCTTTCAAACAATTTGAAATTATTGGATCTAAGAGCCAATAAAACTTCCTGGCCATTCAAGTTTTTAATACCATCTACGATCATACACATAGTATACACCTCATTACCAAAAATGGGGTTCGGAACATGAAACGGGTAAAAAATCGTTCTCTTAAAGTCAAATTTATTTTAGAACAGGCAATTTCATCACTGCTGTTCAATTTCCTTTGCTCCAATTGAAGGCATACTCGTATAATGGTACCATACAATATCCAGTCATATTTTCCACCAGAATTCATTGTAAACTTGCACTTTGTGTACCCCGGATGAAGCAAACATCCTTGTAAAGAGAAATCTACATAGATCACAGTTGTGGTATAGACCCAATATCAGAGTATCTCCCGTTATTGGTTATTTTGACTTACATGACATTTTCAACGTTTCAAAATTTATATTTGGAGTTCGCAATAGGTATAATTTTTTCTGGCACAATAGACATTATACAGGTTGACGTTACTACATAGCCCCCCATACGACGATACCTTTGGATATTCGGTAATAGACTTCGGATACATTTTTTTCAACGGAATTATTTGAAATTTTATATTTGGATTTGATAATGGGTTCTACACAATTTGGCGGAAAATTCTCTTTACAAAACCACGTCCTCATGTATTTCAGTTATTATAATTTTTATGGAATTTTTTGCATTGGCAGTTCGTAATGGATCCATTTTTTCGTAAAAACCTCACATAATATATTTTCAGTTGTATTACTTTTCAAATGGTAGAGGCTGTTAAAGATTGAGCCACTCGAACTTCATTGCAAGTGAGAAACTTGTTATTTTTACACTCTTAGCCTTCAAAATGGCCAAAAATGCGCGTCCTGGAAATAACGGTTCTAGACGCTAGGTGTCTTTGACCTAAATCCGTTTAAGGACGTTTGGAGTCGATCTATGGATATATGCCAATCTTTCCGTCTGGCTATCGGGTGCGCACGGTTACTCTAGTATCCGATTTCGCCAAAAATTTTATCATCAAACTTAGATCGGATTCGGGGATGGAAAACATCATTCCATTCTTGCTGGAAATTTCCACAGAAAAAGGACAAAAAGTTCAATAAAAAATGTATTTTCCTCAAAAGAAAATAAAAGGATCACTTGGTTCCAACGTTGCAAATCCTAATATATGTATTTGTGTATGGTCAGCTCATAACTCTTTTAAGAATTAAATAAAAGTCAAAATGTCAGCACATACCACACCTGGTACCTCCACCTCAAAGGGACAACATTTTGAATAATTATGTCTCTCATAGCATGCGTAACAAGTCAGCGATTCCCTTGATATTTTGAATATCTCAATATTTCCATCAACCATTAAATCGTTAATATGTGATATATTGGTCCACTCCTTTTAGTATCAACCCTTCAAAATTGGATATAAGTGTTCAATTTTTTGAAACTTTGCAGATTTTAATATTTTTTTATCAGTATTCGATGGATTTTGAAAATTAACTACTTCGGAGGATTATTGCTGTTTGTTACAGTGACATAATAATTGAGAAGCCCAATTTTTGGTAATGGATGCTTTTGCTGTGTGACCTTTTATTATTAAATCTGTGGGCCAAGCAAACAGTAGTTTTTTTTTTTGTTTTGAAAATGCTTTCAACCCAAAAAAAACGTACGTCCTCATCTAAATGGACCTTTACAGACGAACGTACATTTCTTACTTTAATATTTAATAGGTTAAATTTCCATAACTCACACAATTTAGATATCAACCCCTTCTATAACCGGCAAAAATATTGCAGAAAGATTTCAGATGATTTTCTTCAATATATTCTAGGTTCGCACCAGATCTTTGCTTGACAAAAAAATCCAAATCAGAGGGCTGTACCTTAAATTTATTTTATTATTTTTTCAAAGGATGACCGTTTCCATTCCCAACTCTCGCAACAAAATGAAGAAAATATACTTATACCATTGTGGAAGATGATCCAAATTTTCTAAGAATGCTTGTTGGCATGTTAAAAATATCCCTATGTGCTGTGATTTTACCAAACTGGAGTTTCCCTCAAAAACAATTTATTTGGTAAATATTGACCTTTGCAGGTATGGTTTCAAAAGTAGTGAAAGGTCAGACGGACGTGGTCTTATACAAATGTCCTTAAATGGATTACGTTTCAACATCCCTGAATACTCTGGTCATATTCAGAAAAAAGAAACAAGTAGTCAAAGGCTACATTCGACCGGGGCGACCATGTGATACCCAACAACACTATAATATATAATTGGACTTTTTAAATTGTCCAAAGAGACCGTCTCATTCTTTTGATAAATGGTATAAAAGTCAAAGGTCAAAATTAGATGGCGGAGACACCCAGTTAGGACCAAATTCCCGAATAAGATAGAAATAAAATGTCAACCATATTACCTTTAAATCTTGAATTTTGGCTTAGTCAAACTGGATACAGAGTGAGGTGGAATAACTGCATCCAACTTCAGACTGCTGTCATATCCAGGCCACTCGTCCGACAGCTGTTAAAATTATTCCAGTAACAGCTCATTATATTGTTTACAAGCGTACAACAGCATTTTGGAAAGAATTTTTCAGAAAAAATGTTACAAAAAGTTAGCAAGAACTTACTCCGCAACAGGAAGAAAATAGATTCATAAGAGCTACAGATTTGTTTCGCTTGGCTGAAAATGGTGAACTGAACTTCTCCAATGAGAAAACATTCGTAAACAAAAAAATTTATCGTGTTTACCTGCCCAAAGAGGTCAGCTGAAATGTGTACCTTCGGTAGGCCACCAGATCTCAAGCGCCGGCCATGGTGATGGTGTGTGCCGCCATAACAGCCGAGGGTCGCTTTCCGCTCGTATTAATCGACCGTGGTATCAAAATAAATGCCCAATATTATCACGATAACATCCTGTAGGGTGTATTCAAGCCTTGGGCACGCAAACATTTTGGCCGCAGACCTTGGACATTCCAACAGGACTCAGCACTATTGCACTCAGCATGCGCCACCCAAGAATGGTTACAAAATGAGGTTCCTCGCTACGCTTCCAGCGCACAATGGCCACCAAAATCTCCGCATAACAACCCGTTGGACTATTGTGTCGGGAGTATTTTGGAAAGCAAGGTTGGCACTAAAAAATACCAAAGTGTCGATCACCTCAAGCAAGCGCTTCGCCAGAAATGGGACAAATTACCGTAGAGCAACATTCGGTTTCATTGGCCGTTTGAAGGCCACAATTGGTGCCACAGGTGAGCAATTCGCACAAATCTCAACTTATTCTAAAATTTGATGCTATTTCCGACATTTTCTTCATCAAGTTGCATAAATTTAAATTTATTTTTTCTACCAAATGTTCTTTAGTAAAAAATCGCTATATTGTTCTGGAACGTCATACGATATAAAAATTTGGGGCTTAAAATCGTTGATATAAGCGTGCGATATTTTCAAATAGAATGCCATCTATACATCAATTTTAATATTGTTCTTTTGTAGCATGCTTTTAGGCGCAATGATATTAAACAGGTTGCCAGCAAAATGACAAACATACAGGCAAATTCTTTGAAAATTTATATAATGAAATTGTGTGGAGTTCCAAAAACTGGAGGTGACTAAACAACGGTAGCCTGGAAGCAATATACCGATCCGATGGAAATTTTTATAGATTACTATCTTCTTGCAGATGGTGTTATATTCTTTGCATCTCTCATTTGTACGATTATTAACAAAACTCTGTTAACAAAAACGAACCAAGCAGAAACAAAAGAAATGAAAAAAATGAACATGGTTTTAAGTACGTTTTTATATTTTATTTGATTTTGTTTATCTTAAATGGGGGTGTTTTTGTTTTGAATGATTTTTATGTTCTTTGTTTAAAACTACAAATTATGACTTAGTTTAAATTTATAATTTAATATTACACTCAAAGAAAATATGTCGTTAAAAAGGATATTGATTTTATGTTGTTTATCAATTAAATTTCCTAAAAAATACTTATCAACACAATTATGATTGTGAGAAAATAAAATTTACAAATTAGTTGCGAAAAAAACGAAACTCAAAAGTAAACATTCAAAATATTTTTTATGAGATTTGTTTTGCCAATATTATTTATTAAATAATTAACACAAAGAAATGTATTGTATTAAGTGATGTTTTGTTTCATTTAAATTTTTAATTTTTTCTTTTTTAAATACAAATATTTAGTTTTTTTTTTGTTAATATTATTAACTTAACATAAAACAAAAAATTGTTTTTTGTTGTTTTTTTTTTCAATAAATACACAATTTTGTTTGGTTTTTTGTTTTAATATTTGATTTTTGTTTTTTTTTTTCTTTGTCGATTTTTTTTCTCCTCTTTCTTCTCTTCTCTTTACTTTTTCTAATATATATTTTTAATATTCAAATGTATTTTTATTTGGTTTTTGTTTTCTTTTTTGCTTTGTCTATAAACTCCATAAAATGGTCCTTAAGGATGTTTTTGTTGTTGCTTTTTTTTCTCTGTATATATTTCGCTGTGTAATGGCCTTTCTTGTTTTGGTTTTGAGATTCTTTTGGAGAGTTTTGTTTTTACCGCATTCAAGATGTGATGTGGGGAGAGGAGCCTTCAAATTCTCATTTAACCATTTGGCTTCATCTCATGGTCGTCATGGCTTGCTTGCTTATCGTTTAAGAAATGCTTAATAAATTTTCTGTTGTTTTTTTAATTCTCTACTATTTTGGTGCATTTTTTATATATGGCAATTTATAATTACTATTTTTTTGTTTTGTTTTACTGTTGTATGGTTATTGTTTTTTATAAACTAAATATATGTTTAATATATATTTAATTCATTTTTGTTCTGTGGTGAGTTTATTTTTTTGTTAATTTTTGTTTAGCTTTTCTTTTTTTATTTTAATGATTCACTAACATTTCTTAAATTTTCTTTAATATGATAATTTGTTGTTTTTGTTTTTTTCTTTGTATCTTGAACTTCTATCCCCAAGAGGGCGGGACAAAAATTGAATTGGTTTTTTTTTTCAAAAAAATTTTTTGCCTTAAATTTAATTGAATGCTTGTTGTGTTGTTTTTTTGTTATTATATTTTTCATATAATTTTGTTGTGGTGTTGGCGGTGATGTTGTTGTTGTTGTCATTTCATCCGTCTAATGAGAAATTTACTCCAAACGCGCCTTATAGGTGGTCTTCCAGATTTCGGCTAGTGTTACAGCACTATGGAATCGATGGAAAATGCATAGAGGCAGTGTAACACGTTGTATGATGGCCCATGGCACATAACCATAGAAGTCCAATTGAACCTGTTTTTGGAAATTAGAAAAAAAAAAAAAAAATGAAAATTAATAATCTCCTTTAATCTATTAAAAAATTAATGAAAAAGCAACCACAGTGCGGGATTGTCATGATGTAAAGCAATATTTATGAAGATATGTTTGTGTGTGTGTTTGTATGTCATGAAATTTGAAAATCAAAAATTTGCAAAAATTTAATGCGTTTTTTTGTACAAAATCATATTCTTGATATGAATGATCAATGTGTTCACATGATGAATTGTTTGAATGAGAGATTCAACTACATTTTTGCAAATATGTTTTTAAATGTATTTATATAATTTTTTACGCCCTCCACTATCCATAATTTTGAGGAGATATTAAGTTCTTCATTCCGTTTGTAACTCATCGAAGCTAGACCTAACAAAGTATATATATTCTTGATCAACGTAAGTTCTAAGACGATTTAGCTCTGTTCGTCCATCCATCTGTCCGTCTGTTGTAATCATGCTAGAGTCAAAACAAATAAAGATAAAGATGTGAGCAGATCAGTCTTTTGTCTGCAGGCAGGTCAAGTACGAAGATAGGCTATATCGGTCCACCATATCGTATAGCCCCATATAACGTTACCCCCGGTAACGTTACCATCGGTATTTTGATGAGTGTTGAAAATCCACAACAGGAGTTCCTTCTGATTACTTTACCTTTTGGAAGAGTATTGTCTATATAGGTTCACGATATTGTATATCCCCCATATAACGGTACCTCCCTATATTCGGTATTTTCATGATTTCAGCTACATTTTTCAATGGAATTGTATAAAAATCCACACTAGAAATTTTTTCTAAGCACTTCACCCCATGGAAGAGAAATGTCTACATAAGTCCACGATATAGTGTAGCCTCAATGTAACGGTACCCCCCGATATTCGATATTTTGACGATTTTGGGACATTCATTCACCGGAGTAATCTCAAATTTCGTATTTATAATTCGTAATGGGTACTAAAGCCTATGACAAAAATTGCGTATAAAGGCCCACGGGTTCGCATAGCCTCTATATAACGATACCACCCAATATTCGGTATTTAGATGATTTTTGCGGCATTATTCACAGGAGTTGTTTCAAATTTCGTATTTAGAGTTCGTGATGGGAACTATAGTCTATGGCAGAAAATTGTCTATGCAGGTCCAGGTCTTCGTATAGAACCCATATATCAGTTCTACCTTATATTCGGTATTTTGAAAATTTTAGGTACAATATTCACCGAAATTGTTTTCGTACAGCCCCGATATAACGGTATAGCCCCGTATTTTGTATTTTAATGATTATAACCACATTATTCACCTATCCTCACCTTATCCTAACTTTAAAATTGTTCATTTACTTTAATCTGAGAACTCAAATTAATAATAGTAAATACGTATGTCATAATTTTTATATCCTCCACCATTAAATGGTAATATTGTCAGATACCCCAGCATACAATTCAATGTCGATAATAAAATCAGGATAAAAGGAACATTTTTTAGATATATGGATGAAATATGTACTCTTACTTGATATTAGCTATATCGGTCCACGATATCCTCAATGTCGAGATCATCATGACTGTGTCTTTTGAAAAACAATGTAGAACACACTATCAAAGATAGAGCTCTAAAATTTTGCGCAAACATTGATTTTATTCCTAAGAAGTTTGGTATTTTAAATGCAATATATCGGAATATTGATATGGCATCGAATTTTAAACGTAACCACATAACAATTTTTTCTACCACCCGATTTTGGGTATATAGCCCCATTTCCAACCAAATCAACTGAAATTTTATATTTCGGAGTCTAACTAACTCCTCTTAAAAATCAATATCAATAAAGCCGATTTAAGCAAGTATTAGGTTCTCTCCTCGATAAAAAAAATATATTCAGTATAGGTCCATATAAAAATACTTGCTGATTTTAAGTATTTTGTAGGTGTAGGTTTGACCGACAAAACATGTTTAAAAGCTTGAGCCGGTATTCGGAATGATTTATGCTATCAGCATTTGGCCATATACAGGGTGAGACGAAAAAACTGCTACCAACTTCAGACTGCTGTTGTTTCTAAGCCATTCATCCGACAGCTGTTAACTTTATTCCACTGACAGCTCATTATATTGTTTACAAGCGTACAAAAGCATTTTCGTGATAATTTTCCAGAAAAAAGTTATTCCTGATGGAATTCAAGCGTGATAGTGTGATTTCTTAATATTTGGCTGGAAAACCACATGTGGCTATCGTTAGAGAACTCCAGCATTTAAATGTGAATAAATCGTACCATCGCTCGTTACAGTGATACTGGTAGCGTAGCCCGACGTCAAGGAAGTGGACGGAAGAAAACAGCAACATCAGCAGAAATGGTTCGAAATGTAAAGAAGCGACTTGATCGAAACCCGCGTCGCAGTGGCCGAAAAATGGCTCGTGAGCTGAACATATCGCAATATTCCATTCGACAAATAGTAATAATTCCAACAGGACTCAGCACCATCACACTCAGGACGCGCCATCCAAGAATAGTTACAAAATGGGGTTCCTCGCTTCATGTGCATTGAATAATGGCCACCAAAATCTATGGCCAATCCGTTGGACTATTGTGTCTGAAGTATTTTGGAAAGCAAGGTTGGCACTAAAAAATACCAAAGTGTCGATCACCTCAAGCAAGCGCTTCGCCGGGAATGGGCCAAAATAGCGCAGACCAACATTCGAGAAGCGTGTGACGGTTTAATTGGCCGTTTGAGGGCCATAATACGTGCCAAAGGTGACCAATTCGAACAAATCTAAACTTGTTCTAAAATTTGATGTTAATTGTGATATATTTTGCTTTCATTCAGAAAATTAAAAAACAAAAGTCCTAAAATCGGGCGGGGCCGATTTTATGATACCCTACACCACTTTGCTAAGTTAGTTGAGCTCCACATAACAATTAAAACTTTTTATGGGAGAATTCAATCATACACGCTATGATTATAATTATAATTTAAAGTTCAAAGGACTAAACATGCCGAAGCATTTGTATCTTTTAAATTCGAACTTGTATTGCCCATTTGGTGCAAAATTAATTTGAAATCAGATAAAGATATATACGGGAGCTTTATCCAAATCTGAACCGATCTCGATAAAATTTGGCAAAGATATTTCTGAGCCGTATTTGATATATTTCCATGAATATCGTTGTTACGGAGTGCATATTACGGCTGTGGGTAACAAATACAACAAATCGAATGAACAATATATATGGGAGCTATAGCTATATCTGAACCGGTTTTCACCAAATTTGGCATACTACCTTCTAGACTCAATTCGGTCGTATGTGCCAAATTCCATCCCATTTGGGCAAATATTAGACGTTTGGTGCACAATAAATGTAAATCGGACGAAGTTATATATGGGAGCTATATCCAAATCTTAACCGATCTGGATAAAATTTAGCAAAGGTATTTCTGAGCTGCATTTGATATATTTCCCCAAATATTGTTGTTACAGAGTGCATATTACGGCTGCGGAGGACAAAAATAACAAATCGGATGGACAATATATATGGGAGCTATAGCTATATCTGAACCGATTTCGATTAAATTTGGCATACTTATTTTCAGGCCTAATTTGGTTGTATGTGCAAAATTCCATACTATTGGGGCTGATATTACACGTTTGGTGCACAATAAAAGGCAAATCGGACGAAGATATATATGGGAGCTATATCTAAATTTTTACCGATTATCTCCAATTTCAATAAGGTTCGTCCTTGGGTCAAACAAATGTTGTTTGGAAAATGTCACCTCAATCGGATAATAAATACGACCTGCATTTTGTTCACAAGAATACATGGACAGACGGACTGACATGCATAAATCAACTCAGAAAGTGATTCTATGCAGATCATCAAAAGGAACTATGGGTCTATCTCGTTTCATTTTGCCTGTTACAAACAAATGCACAAAGACTTAATACCCTGACCACCTTGTGGTGTAGGGTATAAATATGGCGTTTGACTTTGCCGCAGTTTTTCTTTATTTTACCCTGTAGAGAGAAATTTGAAAATTAGTATTTTACGGTTCATGCTGATATTAGTTCTAAAGGTTTTGGCAATGGAATTGGTTATTGGTCTGTTCCAGATCATATAAGTTGATATTTAGGTTTTGTAGTTACGTTTTTGTTCACCGAAATTCGTTTTTGCAAAGTTCCCTAAACCGGTAGTGCCTCCCATTATTTTAAAGGATTCTCCTGATTTATTTATTTGTCGTTTAGACCGTTGATATGGTCCTCATATTACGTCAACCTCCTAATTTTCATTTTTAGAGGTTTAAAAACATTTTAAAATTGTATTGGCATTTAAGATCGTTGGAAAGAGAAAAATCATTTTCTTTTTGCAAAAATGTAAGTGATGTTCAAATGAATTATGGAAAAAATCTCAACTACTTGGATCAAAAATTCTATATCATCATCTACAGGACGCAAACTGGGGTTCCAAAAAAATATTATTCGAAAAAAAGAAAGAAATAAAAGCAACAACAACAAATTCATTTTAACACACATACGTATATATCTCCATTATAGCCGAATATTGCTCACGTACATATCTACTTACGGGATTGGCGTATACTTTTTGAGCATCAAATGTGTAAATGGCGAACATGGCCACATTGCAGATCAACAAGAAGGTGACAATTTGGCGACCGGGTTTGCTGCGATCATGTTCGGGTAAATGGACGCGGCGTCGTGAAACATCGGCAATGAACAACAATTGTAAAATGACTTGAAGGACAGCGACGGCACTGGTGGTGGTCACCAAGAGGCTGGGTTCATGTTCCAAAACTTTGAGGCTGCCCGAGATGACGGAGAATACGGAATAGGTGAAGAGACCGAAGGCCGAGATACGCAAAAGAATGTCGTTCAGGTTGGATTGTTCTTCGCAACGGAATTTCAGATTCTTGACTCTGTGGGGAGCGAGAGGGAGACAGAAGATATATTATTTATGTTTTTGTCAGGGTTTTTGAATACATTACCTTATAAAACCAATGATTATGGCCAAAATGGCAAATACCATGAGTATACAATGACTGGCATCGGCCAAATAAATGGCCAGCAACGAGAACTGCTGATGACGCACCAAGACGAAGAAGAGTATCAAACATATCAAAGCACCCACCAACAACAATAGACCAAAGAATAAACCTTTCGAGGAGCCAACACAGTCCACACGACCGGAACGGGCCTGTTGAGCCATGGCCACGGCACGACGTGATAGCATCACTTCCAGGCGATGTTCCAAATCGTCGTCATTCATGCGACCGGGATAGCGGCCAATGTGCTTCCACATGACATAGAGGACTACGGCACCAATCAGGGAGTATTCAATGATGAAGGGATACAGGTAGGGGGCCGAATCGTACACAATGGTACCCATGATATCGACACGACCGCAGGCGGTGGAATTCAAGGTGCCCACATTGGAGGACAGGGCGGCCGGGTAGATGTTGTCTAGGTTTTCGAAATTCTCAAAGGTCACAATACTTGCCGCTTCGGGATGGGAAATTCCGGAAAAGGTTTGATAACTATTCTTCATGAGATTGTTAATGAATCCCAATGAGCTTTCGGTGGTCTTATCGGCCAGGGATGATGCAGTGGTGGAAATGGGGATGTCAGTGGTTGTGGTGGTTGAGGTGATGGGTGATGATGGGGTGCTTGACATGAGAGATGAGAAAAATGATGCTACACTGGAGGCTACACTAGAGCTATCAAATGCTGAGCCAGCGGTGGTTGCGGCTGTGGTGCTGGGAGAGGAGGCCAAATGTTCTACGGCAGCTGCCAATGGAGAACCGGTGGAGGAATACAAATTCTGCTGGAAATTATTAAAGGGTAATTCTGTGGTCGTTGTTGTCGCCAATGGTGAGGTGGCTGGCAACGCGGTGGTAGTAGTAGTTGTTGTTGTTGATGTCGATGTTGTCGTCGAGCTGGGTGTTGATGACGAGGTGCCCATGGTTGCCGCCGCCGTGGTACTAGTGATAAACTTCTTCAACTTGCGTGCCACAGTAGTGCTTTGCCATTGATAGCTGGGTGTGGTAAATGCCGGTCTCATTGTGGTGGTGGTGGTCGTGGTACTTGTGGTTGTTGTGAGTGGATCTGCAACCTCATTGGAGCCCATACCCAAGGTTTTCGAGATGCCATCAACAGTTTTGGCCAACATTTTTGAGAGAACACCATTAGTGGTATAGGCATCCTTGGGCAGGAGGTCTTCTCCATCCAATACTTCAAATTCCTCATTGGGTCCGTAATGGGTGCGCAATACAGTGCCGGCATGGCGTAAGGCATGTTGACGTATCGACTGGCCAATTGAGGACTCATTTGGATCGGGATCACGTCGCTGATGATAGAGGGTTATTTCCAAGAGAGATTCCTTAACCAAAGTACGTATCCAGACACAGATATTGGTGGCCACCACATGCATCAGGCCAAAACGGGCAATAACCTTGAAACGGTGGATATTCAACTGTAAACAGTGAGAGGAAGAGAGAGAGCAATAAATAATTATAGTTTGGATAAAATGAATTTTTTCAAATTTATTTTGAGAAAAATTTCCCAACAACAAAGCCATTAGGATGTTCCACATGACCGGAACATACACTCACACCTATTAACTTGACAAAATTAAAAAAAGCCTTCAACAAAAAAGTTTTTAAAGCAAAGCCGTTTTCAAATAAAGAAAATATTTAACAACTCAAAAATGTGATGATTTCAGAGCAAAAATCAAAATCATACCTGGTATGGTGGCCTAGTCTGCGCGGTGATACAGATGGTTTTACAATGACACAAAGGGAAAGGGAAAAGGGGATGCATGAATTAAATTAGCAGCACAGCAAAAATTAATTTCGATTTTCGTTTTGAGTATTGGTTTCTTTTCGTGTGTGTGAGTGGGGAAATGAATAAGTTTATGTGTGTTGTAAGATCCCGGGGGAAAAAGTGATTTTTTTCTTCGAAAAGCATGAATAGTTTCTTATCCGAAATTGCCAAAATATTCTATCCATAGTTCTTTTGTCAAAAATTCGGATTGTAAATATTCACTGGGATACTTTTAAAATAAAAATTGTTTGATTTCCATGAAAATTTTCAAATGAATGAATAGAGATGATGTTGTGTATGTTTTGTGTATTCGGGTATTTTATTGTATTCCAATTAATCGTTTATAATTTGAATGAAGGGAAAGAGAAAATATGAAGTGACGATGATGATAATGATTTGGTAAGCATAAGTGAACATGATTTGAGAATTGTTTTTTTTTAGGATTTAACTAAAGAATGCATTTAACGACTAATTATATTTCACTTCACATTACATAAGTTTATTGACTTAATTGACACACAAAGTTTGGAGTAAAACGCTGACTTGTTTCTTTTGATTATTTACAATATTTAAACCTTATATTAGAAGAAGTGGGTCAAAAAATCTAAAATTCAAATGATATCTTGTGTTGGTAGAGATATTAGATCGTGCCAGATTTGGAAAAAAATCGGATTTTCATTCAACGTTTTACGAGAGTTATAATTATTCAAATTGTTAACCCTTGTGAGGGAGCTTCTAGAAGAAATGAGCCGATATTGTCCATTTTCACACCTGAACTGGCATTGAGGGAAATAATTTTGGATGATTCTTCCTTTACTGTTCCATAAGGTCAATTATTTTTTGTGAAAATTTGGACCATTTGTGGGAGAGGTACCAAAAGTTGTGGACCTACATATATATTATCCATCTCCGAACTCGATTTAAGTTAGATAAAAATATTAGGCGTTGAGAGTTATTGTGCGCAACAGTTAGACAGATAGACCGACGGCTGGACGGACATCTCTATATCGACTCCCAATGTCCTGAAACGGATTAGGTTCAAAGAGACCTGTAATCGTTATTGGAATTGATAGTATGGTCGAAAAAAACATGTAAAAAAGCTGTAAGCTCGGTCAGGCCGAACATCAACACCCTTCAACATTTTGAACGAATTTGGCAATTTTTAAAAAAATAAAATCCGTTAAAAAATTCTCTTAAAATCTTAAAAATACTGAATATAGATGTTATATTAGGGTCTATACGACGACGTAGAACTGTATAGGCAACTTTTGTCATAAGCCATTAAAATATTCAAATACTAAACTTGAAAAAATTTGGTAAATAATGTATCTCAAATCATCAAAATACCGAATATAGGGAGATACCGTTATATTGGGGCTATACGAAGACATGGAACTGCACAGACAATTTTCTTTCATGGGCTGTAGTATAAATTACGAACTTCAAACACCAACTTTAAAACGATTCCTGTGAATAATGTCGCTAAAATCATGAAAATACCGAATATCGGGAGGTATTTGGGGGCTATACGAAGACGTGAGAGAATTTTCTTTCTTAGGCTGTACTATCAATTACGAGCTTTAAATACCAATTTTAAAACATTTCCGGTGAATAATGACGCCTAAACCACCAACATATCTATATTATATATGGGGGCTATACCAAAACGTGAATGTGAAAAGTCCTAATACACATTTCAGTAAAAATTTATCAAATTTTATCAATTTTGTTCGGAAGCTAGAGTGATTTCCACAGACGAATAGACGGAATACCGATATAGAATTTTATGCTGATCAAGAATATATATATTTTTTGTGGGGTCTAAAATGTATATTTCGAAGTGTTACAAAGGGAATGACAAACTTAATATACCCTCCTTACCATGGTGGAAGATATTAAAATATTGGTATGAGTAAAATTTCAAGAAAATCGAAAATTTATATCCAATTTTTGCGAAATCATAAATTCCAAATTCAGCTCAAGTTTCTGGTTAAGAGATATATTTAGATATGTCAAGTTTTTGTTTTTCAAAATCTTAAACCCTATGTGAGGTACCATACACATCACAGCAGATCTGGTGCTAGTAGAAAAAATGGGATTTGTGAAATATTAGGAGATTCACTTCTCCTAATATTTTCGATTTTATGAACGTTTTGGCTATTCACAACTTTTACCCTTGGTGGGGGAGTTACCAGAAGGCATGGTTCGATCTCTACAATCTTTATAACTTATCTTGTGCTGACAGAAATATTGAGATGTACCTAGTGTGAATGGAATCGGATGTTCATTTTGTGTTTTATGAGCTTCACGGATATTCAAAATTTTGATCCTTTTGTGGGTGCGGTATCAGATGGAGTGAACCGACCAGAAAGAATGGTCCGGTCTCTACCTTCTTTACAACGGATCTTATGTTGATAGAAATATTGAGATATTCCCAGTCTGAATGGAATCGGGTGTTGATTTCGCGTTTAATGAGCTTCATGGATATTCCGGGGATGTACCAGAAGGAATGGACCTATATATTCCATATTCACAGCAGATTTAGAGCTAGTAGAAATAATGGAATGTGTGAAATATGAAGGGAAGCTGATGCTTAATTCGGATTTTATAAACGTTTTGGTTATTCAAAATTTTGAATCCTTTGTGGGGAATTTCAGTTTCCGATTTCATTCAGACACATCTCAATATTTCTATCAACATACGATCTGATATAAAAAAGGTAGAGGTCGAACCATTTCTTCTGCTACGGTCCGACCTCTACCTTTTTTATAACAGATCTTATGTTGATAGAAATATTGAGATGCGTCTGAATGAAATCGGAAATCGGTATTAATTTCGCGTTTTATGTGCGTCAAGGATTCTCAAAATGTTGACCCTTTGTGGGGGAGGTACTTGATGGAGTGGAACCGTCTATTTTCGCACCTGACACCGCACCGATGCAAATATTAGGATTTGCTAAATTGGAGCAAAAACAGATTATCCTTTCTCTTTCTGTGCAGTATTTTTTGAGACCTTTTTTAGCATTTGTGGGGGAGGTACCAGAAAGTATGAACCGATATTGCCAAGTTTAGACCAAATCGGATACTTCCTTCGAAAGTTGTCGTGCTCACAAGCCAGCCATCGCTAAATCGACTTCAAGTGTCCTGAAACGGATTTGGTCCAAAGAGACCTAGAGTTAGGATTGTTATTTCAATGAGGCACGGTTTGGCCGCATCAAATGATATGTACCCTTCATATGGCTGAGGGTATAACTAAGAAAATTTAATTTTTTTATATGCCAATGGGGAAGGGGCCAATACAAAGCTCATCAAAATATATCCATATTTGTATGAGATTTAAAGGAATTTTTTTGTAATTGTATAGAGATGCATATTTTCAAAAATAAAATGAAATTTTTTGGAAAGTAGTATTATCCGTAAGGATCGAAAACTTAAAGCAAAAATTCAGCAGATAGATTCAAAGGTTTTTCATGATTTAATAAAAAAACGTCATCGAACATCTTCGAAATGATGTACATTTAATGGAATACAGGACCAAGTAAAATTAATGGTTTAGTAGGTTGATTTGTAAGTAGTTACGATTGTCATTTTTCCTTAGGGGAGTAGTTGCAGGTTTAGTGTTGTATCTGGTATTGAAAATTAACTTTACTGATCACGTTTAGGCATATGCCACAATTTTCCAGTGAATATGATGGAACTTGATATTTTGGGTTCTTAATAGGTATGTTCATCCAGGTACTCTATTTGATATAGATACCTCATGATTTTCGATATTTTTGATTTTCTGCGTTTTTTTTTTTCACAGAAACGTTCTTGTAAAATCCGGTATTGTTTTATAGTTCAAATATTACGGCGCTCCTGATATTTGTTAAAGGATATTTTTAAATATTTATAAGAATAAAACATCTTCGCAAATTTGCTCAACATAGCCCAATATAGCGGTAGCTCCCCAACTCTTAGTATTTGGATGGGCCTAACCACATTTTTTTTAAAAAATGTATTTTTACTGGTTTTGAAATTAAACAAGCCACAGACAGCTGATGTAAAAATAATTTAATTTACCTAACACAGTTTTTTTCTTGTTTTTATCTCAATTTTGAATCACAATAAAAATTTGTATATTTTTCTAATCCTTTAAGAAGGTTAATTACATTTTTATTATAAACCCAATATTGTTTTTATCATTAAATGCATTCTTTTGATTTTACCTTTTTCATTTTGTTTCTTTAAATTTATACACCCATATGGCTTTAAAATTATTCCAAAGAAAATAAGACATAAAATAACGAAAAAAATTTTTTTTCAAACGACATTCGAACTTACTCTGGCATTCATAAAGATGAAATACATTTGCATGAAGGTAAAGATCATCTGCAACAAGGGGTTGACGCCAATCAAAATGTGATGACATGGCGAATCGAAGGGTATTTCGAAGAATGAGCCAAATTCCAAACCAATATAAATCATGGCACCCAAACCAAAAGCTGTTGAGAGAAGAAAGAAATTATTAACGATATATAAGTAATATTAGTTAAAACTTAGTACCCAATAATGAAGAATTCAAAAATTAGTAATATGCGGTATCGGAATTTTATTATATTTTATTTATTTTTTTAAAAATCTAAAAATCTAAATTCTTTCGTTTTGGTGCCTGAGTCATGGATGGAAAAGTTATTACACTGAAACTATTATAAAATATTTTTCACTTCACAAGGACTGGAGAATTCCCTCGGATAATTAAGTACGATTATATTTTCTCTATAGAGAGTCCCTCAACAGGTTTCGGTTGGTAGAATACATTCCAGTGGCCTTCTATGAAGATAATACCTTCTAAAGGTACAAATGCTTTAGGACTGCTTATATAAGATCTCCCATCGATCTCCAAAAAAAAGAAAATTCTTAAAAATAATTTCTTTAAATAAATGATCTATACGTCAACTCCAGATAAAAGATCGTCCAAAGATAGTTTATAGATTGGAAATCTACTTCGGGGTTTAGAGAGTATAGAGGTCTTTTGTAGACCTTCTGAGGGCCTTCTTCTTATGAAAGTCCTTAAGAATGCCTTCTTTCGAGTGAAGATCTTACTAATATATTTTATCAACAGGAGTGAAGAAAGTATTTGATATATGAATTTAATAATGTAGTCCAAAAAGTAACGCCTTAGTACTTTAGTTTTAAATATTTAATTTTCCATCCCTGGTTCTAGTTCAGCTTTCTCTATCATTTTATTCTTTATGATCAGGTAAGCTAAATTAAAATCAACAGCCTTACTCATTATTAAATTCCTCATTTCCACTTACCAATTGCCCCGACACGTAAGAAGAAACTGCCATGTGTCAAATCACTGTGGGTCGTTTTGCGTTTGCGTGAATTTTTTGGTGTTACTGCAACTTCAGCATCAGCTTGAGAGTCCTTATTGATGCAAAGAGGGCAAAAAGGTTACAATTGGAATTAAAAGATTTAATTCATTAGATTATTTGAATAATTTAAAATCCAGAATATATATTTTAAATATAGGATTTACTGAGTTCTAGTGATATGCCATTGGACTAGGTTTTGGGATTAGATGATGTCTGTTTTTGGTTTAGAGTTTGTTTTGTTTGTGTTAGTGATTGATTGTGCGTGTGAGTATGTGAGCATGCAATGTTAATACCATCACCTGTATATTTGTTAAATGTGATTTGGTTTTGATGAAATGCTGAAAAATAGAAAAATTGCTGAGCTATGATATGTAGAGAAAGTGTGTGTGTGATATCTTTCGGTCAAACCCAGTTTGAACTAAGAGGTTTGTTTTTAGCTCTCCTTGTAAAAGACCGATGGACGCTTATATGAACACAAAGTTGTATATCGCCATAAGTTTAGTTAAATTAGATTCTTAAGTCGGCGGAAAAGAATTCATGTTATTAAACATGGTATTTTATGAATACGATGGTAGATAGTTTTAGAAATTGTTGGCAAGCTTTGCAATGTGAAATAAAAGACTAGGCTATATCCTGCTAATCGAACTACTTTTATGTACGACCTGTTAATGAGCACGATCAAATACGAGTAATATGCTTTTGCTTTTCAAACGCTATTTTCCTGTTTTGAGAAAGAACATTTTCATCTAGAAAGTTCGCAGAATAAAAATTGAGACGCATGATTTTTGGACTAAAAAATTAGATTTTTTAAACTTATTTTTGTTTCAATTTTTCTCATATCCACATAATATTTGGCGAAAAATGGCGGATTTCTTTGAGAAAGTATTTTTAGGAAAATATACACTTTTTAACAAGAAATTCTGGATATCAGACTTACGAATTTTTCTAGGAGGTTTCCAAAAATTTACCTGCAGAAGAATTTGTGAAAAACGATAAAATCTGTGCAAGAAAAAATATTGTGTGAAAATATTTTTTTTTTAATCCATGATTTTTTTTTTCAGGGATGTGACCTTAAAAATATATTTTTTTTGAAAATTTTTGTTAAGGATCTATTAAAACTCTTCTTAATGGCCAAGTAATCTTTGTAAAATTATACTTACTACATCAAAGACTTTTCCGCCAGTAAAACATTGTAAAATTATTAGAAATCAACGAATCTATGAAAAACCTTGTAAAATCTTATTTAAAAATCCATGATTTTTGTCAAAATCTACCAAAACCAATATTCTTTAATACATCCATGTTTTTTTTGGCCATAAAACTAACAATTTTCATCTTTAAAGTTTTTCTTTAAATCTTAGAATATTTGGTAAAAATTCTTAATGATTTAAAGCAGGGACCTCAACAATCTTCTTTAAAATCATCTACGATTCCTTTTAAGTTTAAAATTCGACATTTGTTGGCCAGATATTGAAGTAAAAAATAAAAAATCCGCGATTTCTGATCAAAATAATTGTTTAACATTTTCTAAATATACTATACTAAAATCCCCGGTTAATATAGTCGATAGGTATCAAAATATATTTAAAATAACAGATTTTGACCAGCAAATCTTTATGTTTTAAATCCCTCGATGTTTGGTCAAAATTTTTACTTTTTCAGAATCCACGGTATTAAGTCAGGGATCTCACAAATTTTCTTTAAAAAATCCGATATTTTCTAAAAATTTAAAGATATCTCTAATTTTGTTTAAACCCTAGAATATTTGGTAAAAATGCTTAAAAAGATAAAATACGATATTTAGGAAGAAACCTCAACAACCTTCGTAAAAAATCACGATATTAAAATAAAAAATAAGAAAAAATCCGCTATTTCTGATCAATCATATCCACGGTTTATATAGTCGATAGGTATTCGGAATATATTTAAAATAATAGTTTTTGATCAGGGAATCTCAATTTTTTTAATCCCCCGATGTTTGGTTCAAATTAATATTTCTTTAGAATTCCTAGGGATCTAACAATTTTTTTTTTTAAATTCCTCGAAAATTTTTTTTGACCTCCACCATGGTGAGGGTATATTAAGTTAGTCATTCCGTTTGTAACAGCTCGAAATATACTTTGTAGACCCCAAAGAGTACACATATTCTTGATCAGCATAAATTCTATTCTGTGGAAATCACTCTAGCACCCGAACAAATTGAAGTATGTTAATAAATTGACTATAGGTTCACGTTAAGTTATAGCCCCCATATAACTGTACCTCCCTATATTCGGTATTTTGGTGATTTTAGCCACATTGTTCACTGAAATTGTTTCAAATTTCGTATGTGAAGTTCGTAATGGGTACAGCAGCCTATGACAGAAAATTGCATATGCGGGTCCAGGCCTTTGTATAGCCGCCACATAACCGTACAACCTTATATTCATTATTTTGAGGATTTAAGCGACATTATTCAACGGATCTGTCTACATTTATTTCAAATTTCATATTTGAAGTTTACAAACAGGCTAAGGTATTTGTATAGCCCCCATATATCGGTATCTCCCTAAATTAGATATTTTAATAATTTTACCGACATCTTTCACCGGAATTTTGTAAAATTTCGTATTTGCTCTTTGTAATGGGTACTACAGCCTGTGATAGAAAATTGGCAGTTCCACGTCTTCGTATAGACCCCAGAAAGTAGAAAAACGTGGTCTAACATACCCTTCTTCACCTTAGATGTGATTATTAGCTTCAATGTTTCTGTTGCAATTTTTTCCAGAAGCATTCGACCAATATTACCTATCCCGGAACTCAATATATGTTAGGTAACATATTACGACACGAACGGTTTAAAGCAATTCAGTACTTTCTCCTACAGCTATTGTGGGCATCTATCACACAGACAGACAAACGAACGGACACTGCTTGATCGGCTTCAAATTTTACGAAAGTATTTTGAGTAAAGACATCTATCAAGCTATAAGACAGAGGCTATAATCAACATTCTCAATATTTAAAAAAAAAAAAAAATTATATTAGACTTTGATCTTGAATTGAATTCGGTCGGGTTACACATCAGTATAGTAGACTTTTAACGAAACCTATTTTTCACTTTTTTCACATATTTGCTAAATGACTGGAAATATATTTCTAATTTAAGAATTGTAAATTCTTATGAATGCGTTTTCTTCATTTATGATTGGTTAAGCAGCAAAATATTTTTAATACGGTCTTTTAATTATTATTATTTTTTTTTTAATTTTCCAGATCTCTATCCGAAAGAAGACGTTGAAAATATGAGGTAAGAAAATTTTAAATTAATCGTATTTTGTATTGCATGGGAAAAAACAGCCTTTGAAAATACTGACTGCAAACTAGCGCTGTCTAAGGATATTGTTTTGTGTATCATTTTAAAATATAAATACGAATTGATTTGAAAGCCTTTCTCTCGATCAAGCATGGGGGAAATGGCATCAAGCAATCAAATGTGGACGCACAAAGTACTAAAAGAATTTAAAATGCTTGATTGTTGATTTTAAAAGCTTACCCGACCTAGAAATTTCGGTATCCACACATAGTGGACAATACCTAAGAACACAAAGACTAGCATCGTAACGCTCCAATGAAAGACAAGAATAAAATGCAATAAAAGAGCAGTCAATACAACGATATAGACGAAAAGGGCCAATACTTTGCAACAGGTGTTAACCTATGGAGGAAGGGAAAGTAAGAAGAAATTCATTATTATTTCAAATTTACAAAGATGACCCCATCCGACTTTGGACTAAGTGTCAACCATCAATAATACGCCTTGCTATTTATTAAAAGTAGAAGCTTTAGCAGTTTTTTGACATTTATGTAAGAGCTAAAACATCAATTTACAATCAATTATCACAGCTAACACATTTGTCATATATATGTATGCTTGTTGGTTGTTCCAAGTTAACCTACTTTGACACAATTATAATAACAACAGCAACGTTGTTTTCGCCCGTTACTGCTGCTGCCGCTGCTACTAGGCCATGTTAAGTGCATTGCATTGTGGTGATAATTGATTGATGTCGAACATAAAGTGGGTTTGTGATCGCAAAATGTGGATGCAGCCAGTGAGTGCAAAATTGAGGGGTTCTTGTGTGTGTGTGTGTGTCTGTCAAAATGTTGTGTCACCGTTGTTGGGGGACCATAGGTGGCCACTTTTTTGAGCACAGTCCCTGTAATACCATGTTTTTAATTTGGATATCTCATGGTGGTTTTGAATCAATTCTGTTCAATCAAATCCACTTTTGTGTGTGTAATCGAATCTCCGCCAAAAACAAAACGAAAAAAAGAATAGAAATTGCTTTCTTTCTTTAATCCGCATTTAAAAATAATTATTTTCAGTTGTATTCCGGCTTCCGAAAAAAAAAGTTTTTCTATTTTTGCATTAGATTTGAACTGTTGATATTTGATAATGCGTCTTCCATAGGTTAGTTGTAATAACTCCTTCATATTACAATTGAATTGCTTTCAGTAGATTTATAGATCATCTATTCAACAACTTCTAAAAAATGCTCTTATAAAGCTTTGTAATGATATAGAGAAGCCGAAAACTTATATGAAAATTTTGGTTTTTGTTAGTAAATATTTGCTATAATTCTGTAGGTCAATGTTTGTTACGATATGTGATACTTATATTCAATCTACGGAAGTGAGTAAATTTATCTAAAAACTTGATTATAGAGAATTAAACTGTCAACAATTTCCATATTCCTTATTCATCTCAATACTAGTTACATTCGATGACATTGGCTACTACCGAAGTTATCATATGAATTGTTTAAGAACCCACGCCTATTATTTCCAAAATTTTTCTTTTAAAAGAATTGTAAGAGAAACTTGATCAAAGTCCGTCTGTCTAGCTGGTTCGCTGAATGCGCACGATAACTCTTGAAGAGATTGTCGGATTTGGTGCAAGCCTGGTGCATCGTAATAATAATAATGTCAAACTTATATAAGAGATGAATAGTATTGGTCAAAAGCTGAAAATTTTCACTGAAATTAATTTAGATTATAGAACAAGAAAGGATTCTCCCAGCTTGGCAAACTTTCCAAATACTAATATTTATACCCTACAACACTATGTGTTGGGATTATTATACGTTTGATTGGACCAAAAATTATGTATTACCTCGAAATATTGGTTCCCAACACAGGAAACTATATATGGATCTTCCTATCTCGCCAAGCTGATTTGATCTAACTATGCATGGATATTATCGCATAAAATTTAGGCTTTGAATTGGATAAAAACAGTAATTTTGCACTTGTTCTACAGGTCGCAATTATAGACCAATCAACGCGGAATTTAGCATGAGGCTAGAGTTTAAAGAAAATCGAAATTTGCCACTAAACCGCGAATATTTTTAATTCTGGCGAAATCACAATTTCACTTCTGACCGTCCCATGGATGCTCATACCTAAGATATAGCAAAATATACATAATTTCATATATCAATGAAGGGGGGATGTTAGTTAAACCACTTATAATTCAAGAACGGCTGGTCGGATTTTGACAATTCTCACAAATTCTGAATGTCCAAAAAAGATCAAATTTAAGAAAATCGCTTGAAAAAATAACAATAAAAAAGTGAATATTTTTTATATTTTTTATTTTTTGTCATATTATTTATCGCATGAGATTTTTATATATTTGACTTACAATATTGAATTTTTCGTTTGGTAATATTTTTTCACCTTACATCACTATGTTTTGGGAGTATTATATTCAAGTCGTCCGATTCTGAAGAAATTTTGCATGGGGATAGAGTTAGGGTCAGAATTACAGCCCGTTGTTTTTCAAGATGTATTATTAGGGTTTCAAATGAGCCAAAAATTAATTTTTAAATTTTCTGATCTTACAGTGGCTCTGCAGGTCACAATTAAAAACCAATCGACACGAAATTTTGCATGAGGTTAGGGTTTAGGACAGCGTAGAAGTATAGCCTTTTGGACGACCCTTGAGTTATATTTAGCAGGTCAAATGGACCGCAAATTGAGTGTAAATAATAATTGAGATGAAATCTTCCAAAACAATAATTGTTTGGCCCAAGGACGAAACCTAATGAAATTGGTGAGAATTGCTCCAAATTTTTGATATAGCTTCCAAATATCTTCAACCTATTTCGGGTTAATTGTGCACCAAATGGCCAACAACAGACCGAATTCAGTCTAGAATCAAGTGCATAAATTTTGAAAATCAGTTCAGATATAGCTATACATCCCGTATATATGTTTCATTCGATGTAGGCCTTAAAATCCCTAACACGCGTAATATGCAATCCACAAGAATGATATTTGGTACCAGATAACTTATGGAGCACAAAGATACATCTGTAAAATTTTAACGAGATCGGATCAGATTAGGATATAGCTGCTCCAAAGGGTTAATGTCAGCCCAAATGGACTGAATTTTGGCCATTCCGACTGAATTCATTTTAGAAACTTCAAATTTGGTGAAAAGCGGTTTAGAAATAACTATAGCTATATGTTTCATCTGATTTGGTTTTTAATCCCTCACTTGCGTACTATGCACTCCACAACAAATATTTCATACAGGGTTGCTCACCATATCATGTATTGCTTACCATATCATGTAATATCAGCCGAAATTGAATAGATTTTTTCATATTCAACCGAATTTTACAATTTGTTGAAACTCGGTCCGGTATATATATTGCTCCCATAAATATTTTTTAATGTAATCCTTATCGAAGTCATATCATCCACTATACAGCATTGTTACTTGGTTATTTGGCTGGACCGATTTTAACATATTTTGTCAATTCGGAATGCCCTCTTAAATGTGCCAATAATGATGTTAATATAGATTGTGTAGTATTTTTTGACATATTTAATTTTTTCATATTTTTTATCGCATGCAATTTTTTCATTTTGACTCATAATATTAATGTAATATTTTTTCACCTTACAACACAGGTTGGGGTTATTATATACAGATTGTAATTATCATCCGATCCTCATGAAAATTAGGCTTAGAAAGCCTAGGCCTATTCGTTTTCAAGATATCCGCTATATTTTTAGGGGTTGAAATGGACCAACAACTAAAAATGTTTCTGATTTTCCGTAAGAATGGTCACAAGTAGAAACCAAAGGACACGAAATCTCGCATGAAGTTAGAGTTTAGGACAGCGAGTAGAATGGACCAATACACAAAGGGCGAACTTCTGGCTTTTTATACTGCTTTCGTTGACGAATATAGCCAAACATCGTAGACAAGCAAATCATATAGATGAGTCTAAATTTGGAGATAGAGAGGGGCCTCTTGCATTTGGAAGTGATAGCAAAATATTTAGGGGTTCAAATAAACCAAAAACCGAAAAAATTTCCTGATCACACAATAGAAGCCAATTGACAATCGACGGGGCTTCTAACATATTTTAGTTGTAGGGTATCACATGGTCGGCCCCGCTCGTCTATAGCCTTTACTTACTTTTTTCTTCGAAATTTTTCAAATTTGTTCTAAATGGTGGAGGGTATTTAAATTTCTGCCCGGTCGAACTTACTGCTTTTTTACTTGTTACATATCACCTTTGGAAGTGGAAGATAATATCTGATTTATTTCATATTTTTATTCAAAACTTTAATCCTGTGTGAGGGGATATTATGAGAAATTGACCTATCTTGCTTATTTTAGAGTCTGAATTAAGTCTATCTATTAGATATTTAAAAATGGCTGACCATTTCTGGAAGAAAAGAGTTAGACGATTTTTGCCATCTTCAAATTCGGACTAAATTGTAATATTAAAGTTTGACCTAAACGAAGCCATACAAATAGACTCGATCGATTCTAAATGTCTTGAACCAGATTTCGATCTGAAGCCTCTGTCAGAGCCGTACGCAGTGCGGGACATACCGAATTCAAACTATTCCCACTCCCAAAATTATGGTGAAAAAGATTTTTAATGGACTGAAAGCATTTTTTTTTTCGTACTTGACATCTATCCAATTTTTTTTTTCGGTATGACAAAATTTAAACGTATAATAGCACATTGAAATGTTGACAGTGAACTTCTTCCAATCAAGTTTTCAGATAACTTACATCCATTCTGTTTACCGCACCAAATGATACATACACAAATATTTATTTCAAATCTACAAATTCATACACATTCTTTTTTTTTGTCAGTGTATTAGTAAGTTAGTTAGATACACACACATATATACCTCTATATACATTAATATGTGTATAGTGAGTGAGTTTAGAGAAAATAAAATTAATGTTTACCTGTTGTGATAATAAAGTTTGTCTGACCAAATCACGTTTCTTAACAGGATAACGTTCCTGTTTATGTGCGTGTGTGAGTGTACAGGTGTGTGGTTGAGTGTGTTTGTTTGTTGTCGTTATCAAATGGTTTAGTTAGCATATTAAGATAATTTTGCATAGATTTTTGTCACGGACGTTTAAGCACGGATTTATTAGTTAGTTGGCGTTTTTGCGGACCAAACAAAATGTCAAAGTTATTTTTATGACCACCACACCATACACCGACACACCGCACGAAACATGACAAAGGACAGCAAACAGGATTGTAAAAAGTTTCAAGGAGTTGAGTAGGGTGGTTACAACGACAACAACAATACGATAGTACAACAACGACATTCAGTTGAGTTTTTATTTTGATTTTGTTGTTTGGATGGATGGTTGGTTTTGGTTGGTCGGTCCGTTTGGTTGTTCGTTCAGTTTCATTTGGTTTGGAGAGTTGTGTAGTTGTTGTTGTTTACATGTTGATTTGGGTATTTGTGTGTGTGCGTGTGGTTGATTGGTTTTACGGGATGAAGGAGTATTTACGGGATGATGCGAATAGAAACAAAGCGACAACATCATTATTAGCCGATGTTGAATTGAAAGTAAAGAAAATAACAACAACAATAGTATTAATAAAAAAAATAACAACAAGGAAACAACAAAAACAAATCATTATTATTATTATCAACAAAGTTGTAGAGTATGAAATAGGTATAAGTTACTAATTAGAGATGTAGACACAACAAAACGAAACAAATTGAAAAGGAAAGTTTGTTTTTTTGTTCTCAGTTTTAAATTACAATGTTTTTTTTTTCATTTGTACTTTACAAAACGAAAGAGAAATGTTGAAAAAATGTTTAAAATTATTCAGATGATTGAGAGACTTTTTACTAATGTTTTGAATGCAAGCTGTACTAACCTGATAAGGACTGGCTTTACTCTTGCCGGAATCCTTGGTACCTTTCGCATCTTTCGAATCGGCTGGATCCTTTTCCTTGCTCTTTTTAGATTTCTTTTCTTTCTTAGGAGATTTCGGTTGATTGTTGCCGCCATTGCAACAGGAACTTTCTGTGGAGGAAAAAAAATGAGTTGAAATATATTAGAAATATATCTTATCATAAAAGATCATTATGATTTCTTAAAGAAGGGCCTATTGGTCTCTTCTTATAGAAGAGTCTATAGATCTTCTTAAAGAAGAGCCCATAGGTCTTCTCATAGAAGAGCCTGAGGTCTTCTCATAGAAAAGCCTGAGGTCTTCTAATAGAAGAGCTTGATTTCTTCTCAGAGAAGAGCCTGAGGTCTTCTCAGAGAAGTCCTATAGGTCTTCTCATAGAAGAGCTATAGGTCTTCTCATAGAAGAGCTATAGGTCTTCTCATAGAAGAGCTATAGGTCTTCTCATAGAAGAGCTATATGACTTCTCATAGAAGAGCTATAGGTCTTCTCATAGAAGAGCCTATTGCTTTTCTCATAGAAGAGCCTATAGCTCTTGTCATAGAAGAGCCTATAGCTCTTCTCATAGAAGAGCCTATAGCTCTTCTCATAGAAGAGCCTATAGCTCTTCTCATAGAAGAGCCTATAGCTCTTCTCATAGAAGAGCCTATAGCTCTTCTCATAGAAGAGCCTATAGCTCTTCTCATAGAAGAGCCTATAGCTCTTCTCATAGAAGAGCCTATAGCTCTTCTCATAGAAGAGCCTATAGCTCTTCTCATAGAAGAGCCTATAGCTCTTCTCATAGAAGAGCCTATAGCTCTTCTCATAGAAGAGCTATAGCTCTTCTCATAGAAGAGCTATAGCTCATCTAATAGAAAAGCTATAGCTCATCTAATAGAAGAGCTATAGCTCATCTAATAGAAGAGCTATAGCTCATCTAATAGAAGAGCTATAGCTCATCTAATAGAAGAGCTATAGCCCATCTCATAGAAGAGCTATAGCTCATCTCAAAGAAGAGCTATAGCTCATCTCAAAGAAGAGCTATAGCTCATCTCATAGAAGAGCTATAGCTCATCTCATAGAAGAGCTATAGCTCATCTCATAGAAGAGCTATAGCTCATCTCATAGAAGAGCTATAGCTCATCTCATAGAAGAGCTATAGCTCATCTCATAGAATAGCTATAGGTCTTCTCATAGAAGAGGTATAGCTCATCTCATAGAAGAGGTATAGCTCATCTCATAGAAGAGCTATAGATCTTCTCATAGAAGAGCTATAGCTCATCTCATAGAAGAGCTATAGCTCATCTCATAGAAGAGCTATAGCTCATCTCATAGAAGAGCTATAGCTCATCTCATAGAAGAGCTATAGCTCATCTCATAGAAGAGCTATAGCTCATCTCATAGAAGAGCTATAGCTCATCTCATAGAAGAGCTATAGCTCATCTCATAGAAGAGCTATAGCTCATCTCATAGAAGAGCTATAGCTCATCTCATAGAAGAGCTATAGCTCATCTCATAGAAGAGCTATAGCTCATCTCATAGAAGAGACTATTGCTTGTCTCATAGAAGAGCCTATTGCTTGTCTCAGAGAAGAGCCTATTGCTTGTCTCATAGAAGAGCCTATAGCTCGTCTCAGAGAAGAGCCTATAGCTCGTCTCAGAGAAGAGCCTATAGCTCGTCTCAGAGAAGAGCCTATAGCTCTTCTCATAGAAGAGCCTATAACTCTTCTTATAGAAGAGCCTATAGCTCTTCTTATAGAAGAGCCTATAACTCTTCTTATAGAAGAGCCTATAGCTCTTCTTATAGAAGAGCCTATAGGCCTTCTTATAGAAGAGCCTATAGCTCTTCTTATAGTAGAGCCTATAGCTCTTCTCATAGAGGCGCCCATAGCTCTTCTCATAGAAGTCCTATATGTCTTCTCATAGAAGTTATATAGGTCTTCTCATAGAAGTCCTGTAGGTTTTCTCATAGAAGTACTATAGGCCTTTTATAGAAGTCATATAGGTCTTCTCATAGAAGTCCTATAGGTCTTATCATAGAAGTCCACTTAGATATATTGGCATACAAAATTCAAATATGTAAAGTTCATTTGTACTCACCCTGTAACAGAAAACAGAAGACATAGAGTAGGAAGAGTATGCTGACACCATACAAATACGTAAAGAAGCTCTCGTAGTACAGCACTGGTAGACGATGTGTTGTCACATCGCTTATAACGTAAGCGATGCAAACGACAATCAATATGATGGCATAAACCAAGCTGGTAACAATGAACAGCGATGTCCTACAAATGATAAACGGAGACAAAGAAGAAGAAGACAAAAATACATCAGACAGAAATTCAATCACAGCAAACATGGTAGAATTGTGTTTTATATCAAAAGAAGAAAAAAATTAAAATTGAAAATCGAAAAAAATAATCTGTCTATCCACATGTTTGTGGCAGCAAAGACAGCGCAATATTTATTTGGTGTTCACTGAATCTGAATACGATTTTGCAGATTCAACACACATGCACAACACCACTGACACTTCTTCAGGCTGCAATAAAATGCTTGTCGATTAAGTGAACACAAAATCATCACTACATTGAATAAAAAAAATATTATTTCATTGTAAAATAAAATTACACAAAATTTAAATTTCCAACAATGTCTAAAGTAAATAATGTGTAAAGTGCTTTAAACAAATTTATTGCCAAGTTAAAAGCTAGAAAAAAAAATACTCAGCGTGTTACACATGCTAATTTTGTTTGCTTGTTGTTTTATTTTCGAATATTCACGTACATTGTTTTATTATTGGATTTTTTGGAGTATTTTTGTTCTGATTATGAAATGATTTTCATTTTGCTAAAGAAAATTGGTTTCCCCCAAATTTATGCCGACCTCAACCTCTTGTAAATCAGAACACTCAGAAGTGTGCGAGAAAACTAATTTCCACAGACGACTGCAAACGGAAAACGTGTATTTAGATTTATTGGCTTTTTATGCTTTGCTGTTTTGTTTTTTGGTTTTGTAGCCAAATTCGTTTAGCGCCACCACAACATAACACTGGACTGCAACAATTTTATATGTCTTCAAAATAATCAATTGTTGGCCCACATGTGCTGCATATCAATTTTTGAAGACAAAATGTGCTGACCCTTTCTTCTTCGTCTTTTGGGATAAAATCTGTTTAAGAGCATTCGGAGTCAATTTGGCCAGGGTATGTATAAAGGGAACAGATTCCACTATTAAGTCTAAACTTTTCACCAATCCTCATCAGTTCCCATGTTTTTTGTCTGGGATATTCTCCCCAGGAGTTATTTTAAAAAATGTTTATAAGTGCAGTTGTAAGATTTAGACGAATTTCTTGAAGAATTTTAGTTTAATTAAAATATTTGATTCCTCTTCCATTGAGCTTACGATCTCGTCACTTATGTAAAAATAGGTTTTTTGTCATAGGAGTTATTTTTATGTAAAATAACTCCTGGGGAAAATGTCCCAGAAAAAAAAAACAAGGGAACTGATGAGGATTAGTGGCTCTTTCCGAAACCTAGGTATTTCCTGCCTAACCCTCTGGTAAACATTTTTAAATAAAAACGACAAAAATGGGACTAAGCCTAACTATTTTACAATAACAAAAGGCTATGGTATCCCGAACAAACATGCCAAAATGGGACTAAGCCTAACTATTTTAAAATAACAAAATGCTACGGTATCCCGAACAAACATGCCAACACAGTTCTATATATCTTTGAATTTCTTCAATTTTCTTCAAATACAATTCCAGTATTCGGATGAGTGTAAAAATTACGTTTTTTGATCAAATCTTTTTGTGCTCCCCCGCAATTGGACAAAATTTTGAAAAAATTGTAAAAGTAGGACTATTTTATTACTACATCAGGCTTTGCAGATTCCACCACTTTTACTGAAATTTGGTGAAACATTATAAAGAGACATACTGGCTTACTTTTTCTGGTCATTAAGCCTCTAATTTTGTTAAAATCAGCTGTCTATGTTGAACTTAATTTCGTATATCACATTTCTGTCAAATTTATTCATCTTAATATCTCCCCTTGAAAGCGCCTGCATCTTGAAAAATCCTAGACTTCGTATTGGCCAAAGGGACTATCTGTGTAGTTCTTAGCTTCGAATATCATATATGTACAAAATTATTCTTATATTTCTTTATCATTTTATACCGAAGAAGTATTCCATCACAACCAACCATGCAATTGTAAAGCCCTACATGTAATATTTTAAGGAATATTCAAGATCTAACGTCTTGGATTTTATACCTTTCACCACAGTGTGGATGGTATATTAAGTTTGTTATTCCTCGAAATAAGAATTTTAGACCCACAAGGTACATATATTCTTTATCAGCTTAAGATTCTGTGTAGATTTAACGATGTCAGTCCGTGGAAATAATTCTAGCTTCGAACGGAATTAAGCAGGTGGACAAGATTTCACTCAAAAGTATTTTAGGTTCGTATAACTTTTGGTATTGACAATTTGCCATGTAGGTCAATTATAAAATACATAGGTACCATTTAAATGTACCAACAGTTTTAAGATGTTTTGGGTGTTTTACTCACAATATAAAATCAACTTTGCAGTAAGAGGCAGTTTGTGTTCCCAATATGAGGTAAATATCCTTACAAACAAGTAAAAAGTAAAATTAATATCCTTACAGAGTTCGTAATGGGTACTATCTCTTGTGATAGGAAATTGTCCATACAGGTCCACATCTTCGTATAGCCCACATATAATGGCGCCCACCAATATTTTAGCGACAATTTTTACCAGAATTCTTTCAAATTCGGAATTAAAGAAAAAATTTAGAAAAATTGGGTAAAAAGAAGTAAAAAAAAATATTTTTTTTTTTTGTAATAGTCTGTGGTATTTTTTCTCTTTGTACCCTACACCTCATTATGGTTAGGGTATTATGTCATTGCGCATTTGTTTGTAATGCAGAGAAGGAAGCGAGATAAACCCATAGTTCCCTTTTATGTTCTACATATAATCACAGTCTGAGTTTATTTACGGATATCCGTCCGTCCATCCATGTATTTTTGTAAACAAAGTAATTTGTAATATTTGTTTGGCCCAAGGACGAATTCTATTGAAATTGGTGATAATCTGTCAAAATTGAGATATAGCTCCCATATATCTATTCGTTCAATATATATTTGGTATTTTAATGATTGTAGCCAAATTTTTCAATGGAATTGTCTGAAATTCTATACAAGGAGTTCCTTGTGGGTACCTCACTCCCTGGAAGAGAATTGTCTAAATAGATCCAAGATATCGTATATCCCCCATATTATGGTACTATCCCCCATATTATGTATGTGTATATTCGGTATTTTGATGATTTTAGTCACATTTTTAAATGGAATTGTCTGAAATTCTACACAAGGAGTTCTCTGTGAGTACTTTACCCCCTGAAAGAGAATTTCCTATATGGGTCCACTATATCGTATTGCCACCATATTTTATAATTTTAGCCACATTTGTCATTAGAATAGTCTGAAAATCCATACAAGAAGTTCTCTCTGAGTACTTTACTCCCTGGAAGGAAATTAAGAGTATCATCCATATTTTTCGCATCATTATTCACCGGAATTGCGTTAAATTGCGTTCGCTCATATCGTAGTGGGTATTACAACCTATGACTGAAAATTGTCTAGTCCACGTCTTAGTATATTGTCAGGTCCTCGTCTTAGTATATCCCCCATACAACTGTACCTCCCTTTATTCGGTATGTCGACGATATTAGCGACATTATTCACCGAAATTGTTTTGAATTTCGTATTCGAAGTTCGGAATCATTACTACAGCCTATGACAGAAAATTACTTATCCAGCACCACGTCATTGTATAGCCCCCATATAATGGGTTTTATTTGAGCGGTATTTTTCGACGGATTTTTTTTGGAAATTATTTAAGTTCCTTCCTTATGGTGGAGGGTAAAAAAAGTTCGGCCCGGTCGAACTTAGCTGCTTTTGTACTTGTTATGTTTTAACAACACTTTCTAAGCGAAGCAGCTGAAAATTGATTTTTCGTGTTTTCAGTGCATTGCAATTTAATTTAGCTTGAAGTTTTGAACATCATAATAACATTTATCTGATATTTGAAAATCATCGTGAAAAATGTTTAATAAAGTTTAAGTCTGCGAAAGCATAGGCCAAAATATTTTTAATACTTTACAACAATATCTTTGACAAATTCGAACCCATTACCTCAGATATTGTTTTATTTTTGTAGAACAGTGCAGTGGAAAACATACGAAAAGTGCACTGGAATATGTTGTTTCTATTTTGCAGCTATTTATAGCACACTTATTGTAACTGGCGGTGTGAAATTATTTTCATATATTTTTTTAGTAAATAAATGCAATTGCTATAAGATTTGAAAGCCAGATTTTCATAAGAATTTTTTTTTTATTTATTAAATATAATATGACAGCCACACCGACGTGGCCAAAAATCGATTTTAGGTTACTTCGAGTCAAAATACGGTATTATTTCATGTTAAATGAACATAAAAGGCAAACAATTTTTATTTTTGAGCTTGGGACCACTGGATACGAATTCATTCAAATTTAAATTTTTGTCAACTCTGTTTTTTTTTCATTACCCAGCAACATTTAAGAAGAAAATTAAAAGTTGGAGTTTGACTCTATTTGCCTCAACAATTACAAAACTGATTTTAATGAAATAAAAATTGAAACGTTCAGAAATTATTGAAATTTTATTAGGAAGAAATTCTTGGTAACCAGAAAATAATTAAAATATCCGTTTTTAACGCCGGTGGAGCATGTGATCTATTTTTTATACCCTACACCACAAGGTGGTCGGGGTTATATGTCTTTGTGCATAATGAAACGAGGTAGATCTATAGTTCCTTTTGATGTTCTGCATAGAATCACATTCTGAGTCGATTTATGCATGTCCGTCCGTCCGTCTGACCGTCCGTCCGTACGTGCGTCTGTCCATGTATTTTTGTGAACAAAGTACAGTTCGCATTTATTACCCGATCCAAATGAAATTTTGCACAAATCATTTGTTTGGCCCAAGGACGAACGAAAATTTAGATATAGCTCCCATATATATCTTTGTCCGATTTGCCTTTTATTGTGCACCAAACGTGTATTATCAGCCCGAATTGTATGGAATTTTGCACATACAACCAAATTAGGCCTGAAAATAAGCATGCCAAATTTGATCGAAATCGGTTCAGATATAGCTATAGCTCCCATATATATTGTACTTCCGATTTGTTATTTTAGTCCTCCGCA